CCCTGCGTGTCTCGTTCAGGGCCTGCAGAGGGTAAGTGCTCCATCCACATTTCCAGTTCCGGATTCCTGGGTGAGCTTGGACAAGCCCCTCCCGCTCTCTGCGCCTCAGTCTCCCAAGCCTGTCACCGGAAGCCCCTCCCGCGGTGCCGCCCCCAGCGGGGCCGGGTCGGGGCGGCCTTACCTGTAGACGTCGGCCACGCGGCCCAGGCACACGGCCAGCGGTTTGGCCTCGCTGCGGCCCTTGAGGCGGTACACAGCGTCCAGTGCCGCCGAGCAACTCGCCGAGCAGGCCAGGCCGTACAGCGTATCGGTGGGGACGGCCACCACGGCGCCGGCGCGCAGCTCGGCCACCGCAGCCCGCAGCGCCTCGGTCCAACCGGCGCGCTCCGGGCTTGCGGCCCGCACGGCTCCGCTCCCCGGGAGCCGCAACAGCCGGGCCCCCGGCGTCGTCGGAGGGCGGAGGAGGCGGCCGCTTCGGGCGGAGCCCGTAGGCCCCTCACTTAACCCCACGCTGGCAGCCACCGCGGCCCTCAGCCCCTTGCACGGACGCGCCGGAGACATCCGCTCAGACCCGCTTCCGGGAGGAAGTGACGTGCCCAGCCAGCTTCCGGTCCGGGAGGCTCGGCCCCACCTCCGCGCCCGGCAACTTAAAGGGACCGCGGCCCCCAGGAGGATTGAAGGAGACCGGTGGGGACGGGGCGGGGCGCAGCTTTGCAGAGCCTTAGCGCAGCGCTGGGGAGGGGGGCGGCGGAAAGGGGGGCGGTGGTCGGGGCGCGCAGGCGGAGATGGAATGGGGCCCGGGCTCAGACTGGTCACGGGGGTGAGAGGGGGCCCGTCGGGGCGGGGGGAATGGGCTCGGAACCCGCGCCAGCGCCAGCGCTGACCGTCTGTCTCTCGCTCTCTCCCGGGCAGGGAGGCTGCCGGCGTGGACCGTGGGAAGGCGGGGTTGGGGCTCGGCGGGAGGCCACCCCCGCAGCCGCCCCGGGATGAGCGCGCCCAGCAGCTGCTGGACGCGGTGGAGCAGCGGCAGCGGCAACTCTTGGACACCATCGCCGCCTGCGAGGAGATGCTGCGGCAGCTGGGCCGTCGGCGCCCGGAGCCGGCTGGTGGCGGGGTCAGTGCCCACCCCGGGCTGGGCCTGGGAGGTGGGAACTGCTCACTGGCTAGATTTGCTAAGCCCTAGCTTCCCCTGGAGGATGAGAGTGCCCCCACCGCTTTACCACCCTCCCCCACACCCCCACACACCCCGCCTCCTTTCATCTGGGCGAGAGGCTCTGAAAAGTTCAGTGCTATCCAAATGCCAAGTGGCCATATCCTTGTGGGGCCTAATCCAAGGCCTTTCCTCCCAGCCTCACTTTTTTCCTTTCTGTCCCAACCAGAACGTCTCAGCAAAACCCGGGGCGCCCCCACAGCCAGCTGTCTCCGCCAGAGGTGGCTTTCCAAAGGATGCTGGTGATGGAGCTGCGGAGCCTTGACCATCCCGAGCCGGTTGCCCTGAGTTCTCTCCCTTCCTGGGGCTGCTGGCTGGACTCTTTGAACAACTCCCTTCAGTAAAGGGGCCAGTCTTCACTGGCGGCGGCTGGATCTTGGCGCTCAGCCTGGGGTGGCAGCTCTGCTAGCAGCTGGGTTACTCCCACTTCATCTTGGCTGAAGGCAGTGCTGAGCTTTGAAATGTAGCCAAGGAATACCCAGTCTGATTACCCGGATTTGGGCAGACCAGAAGTGCTCGCCAGAGTGGTCTGGCCTGCTTTGGGGGATCCAGGTGGTATTACATGTCCATTTCATGCTTTGGGGGCTCCTAGTCCCACAAAACACTTTTAGCAGAGCCTTGATTAAAAGGAAACCTGCAGACTCTCCTGGTGACCGACCTTTCCTTTCTGTCCCCTAAGACTCTGATGGCTGGGGAGGGGGGGAAGTGGTTGAAAGCTGTCAGCCATGGGCAGGGTTGGGGAAAAATGCCACAGATACTACCAGATTTAAATAAGCATTTAATTAGGATTTCATTAGTATTTAATATTGCTTTTTCAATTCCAAAAAGTTAAATTTTCACTTCTTAGCAGATATTTTAAAGTACAATATTAAGTTTATACAAAATGAGCAATTAAGCAAACACCATTATTTCACATTCTTCAAAAATACAAATTCATATTTACTCTTTTTTGGGTTTGGAGGTTTCTTCCTTTGGAAGTACTGAACCTGTAACGTTTTCATATCGCTCAGTGGAAGTCCATTGTTCCCATGTTTCACACTTAAATGAATTTGATAGGCTTTTACATGATTCAAATGAAACTATTTGGGATTTAAAGAACGGTCACCAATACCTCCGGCCAATGACGTGTATATCAAGAAAGAGGCTCTCGTGGGTCTTGCCTTTCCTGGCCAGATCTGAGCCAGATATTCAGCAAAAACCTGTTTCCAGCCAACTTCTCCAAACAGAGACTGGGAGTTCACAGGGAAAAGAAACAGCCACTTTGAACTCGGACCCCCACCTCCACATTCTCAAAAAAAAAAAAGGATGTAGACTGTTGAGTCAAACAGCGCCCAAGGGGAGGCCTGAGGACACAGGCGAGAAGGGCAAGAGAGGCCTCTGACTTGGCACCACTACGAAGATAACAAGGATATTGCAAAAAACATCCCTGGGTTTTGGTGAAAAAAGGTTTTATGAAAAATTTTCCCATAAGAAAAAGAGTAGAAACTGCATTGAGCTGAGAAAGTGACACTACATTATCACCCAATTTTTGGCCCAGCAGGTACACCACCAAAAGGGCAGTGTGTGGTTTTAAACTTTGCATTCAGTAAAAAACCTTGTACTATGTACACATTGACATAAAGATCCAGTTTAATTTGCATTTTTCAGTGCAGACTGAGAAGCCCTCTCTCAAATAGGAGTAACAAAAATGCCCAGTGATCATCAGCTTCCCCAAAGAGCATGAGAAAAAAAATAGGACCCTTTCCTTCTCCCCCAGAACTATCCAAGGGGAAATAGGCTAAACTGATTACCAATCAGAAATATGCATAATTCAGTTTTGTTCCCTCCCCCATCCCCAATATTAAGGAATGGACAATTCCCATGTCACAGAACAATTTGCATATTGGATCTATGGAAATCTTTCTGCTTTGGCTGAAGTATATTTTAAAACTACTGTATAAGCAGCCTGAGAATGAAGATAAAAGGAGATGGGAGGGGGGACAACAAGGGAGTGAAGGGGAAGGAAAAATTTAATAAAGCAAATTATTAACAGCTTTGCTTACTGGATTTAATGAAGGCTGGAGGCCTTTTTGCTTAAAGAACCAACAGGGGCAGTATGGGAGCAATATGGAAATGGCTCACGTTGACCCCCCTCCTCAAACATATTTCTGATTGGTGATGTAGGGAAATTATAAACTCCAGCAATACTGTTGCAGTTCCACAAATCAATGGTTTCAGTGACTGGAGAAGTCTTTTAAGATTAAGGACAATGGACATGATTACAAATATAAAAGTCTAGAAGGTGCCAGGTTTATACCTAGGAACCACCTGTTCCTTTCAGGCATCACTTGGTAATGGTGAAGCGGGGAAAGAAGGCAAGCGTGCAAGAAGTGATGAAAAAAGGGCCTCAACAGTCAGCAAACAGGACCCGCAGCAGTTCTTCAGAGAGCCTGAGGGGGCGCCCTCGGGCACACAGGGAAGGCTTGCATAGATTGAGCAGTTGCTGAGAATGCATTATAGTGTTTCCCTAAAGACAGCCTCCTGGTACAGGGCTGATGGAGCAGAAAAACATGGCCAGGCCAGGGCCACATGGGACAACGACTGTCAAGCTACACATATTGCACTAAGGTAAGTGCTTTTTTTTTTTTTTTTTTTATCACACCTCAATTTAACTTTTTATTCTGAGCAAAAAATAAAACTTTGTGGAAAGTATATATATGTGTGTATGTGTGTGTGTGTGTGTGTGTGTGTGTGTACATGTACACACACACACATACACAAAAGAAATTGCAGCAATTGGGTTAAAGATAAAATAACCTAAAGTGCTTTTTTATTTTATTATTTCTTTACTATACCAATATGAGGTTCTGCAAACTCGTCCTTCTGGACACATTCAGGAAAACCCACCCACCCTCCATTATCCCCATCAGTCCACTGCCTTGACCCTGAAGGTAAAACTCTCCAGTTTACTGACTCTCCCAGAGATGGTGAAGAGAAGTCCCTTACTTCTACCCAGAGGGGTCTTCACACCGTAAGGCCCCTCCTAGACTTTGTACCATGATCTCCTTCTAAAAGGGTGGAATTTAATAAATGACACCAACTCCTGTCACCAATCTGGTGATGCCCCCATGAGGCTGGCCAGACCCTGCCAGGAAAGGCAGGGCCACTTTCCCTCAATGCCCCACCCATGTGCCTGGGAAGGGCCACATTCACTAAGGCAGTTTGGCAGTGCCAGCCAGAGTCCTACTACTGCCGAAGCCCATGAACTCCAATTCCTGATGCTGACTAGCACCCTGTCAAGGGGCAGTATAACTAGAGATGCTAGTGGGAGCTGGAAGTGTAAATCTACAGGCTGAAAATGGTTATGGTTACCATGGAAAGGAAAAAAGGCTGGATTTCACCTGCTAAGAAGTCTGCAGACCTCCCCTACCCTTACCCTAGGTTCAGTCCCTGGTTTGGGAAACCATGCTCTCCATGAAGGCTCTTTCTGGCTCCACTGTAGTCAGCAGCCCTCTCTTCTCCAAGGTCCCTGGCACTAGATGCCAGGCTTCTAGGAAGGGGTGGGGAGGCAGAGTGCTGGAAGAGGAAGGAAAGAACGCCTACCCTGTGGAATAACCCTGCTCTTCACAACCACTCACTAGCATTTTAAGCACACTCGTGGTTTTTCAAAAGCTGATTGGATCTGATCGTCCCCCTTGTAATCTCAAGTCACCCTCAAAAGGCAGGTACTTCAACTAGAAAAATCTGTCAGCCTAAACACTATTTTAAGACGCTTCTTCATCACACCCAGTCTTTGGAGAGTGGAAAAGCCACTGACCTGGGAAGGCCCAACACAAGCACAGCCCTGGCTAACCAGAAAGAAGCAATATTTAAACCATGAATGCTTCCGGTGGCCTCCCCCCGGGCTCCTGTATCCCACCTCAGCACCCAGGGAACCGAATCCTAGGTGAGCCTAGGAATGTGGGAGGTCATTCCTGCCCTCTGATGTGAACTACCTTTAAGATCCCACTGTACTGCTCTCCCAGAAGTTGTCGAGAAAACAGCAAGGGTCTTACCTCAAAGCTTCCTATGGGTGCAAGGTCCAGAGATAGCCAAGGACAACCCATGCTGAGCAGTCGGTTTTCCTGAAAGACTACCCTAACGCCCTGTGATAATAGAAGATTCTTCCTGCCTTATCAACTTCTGCTGAGGTCAATGGTCAACAGACCCACCAGCCTTTTGGGGAGGGGAGTGCAGGTGAAAAAGACACTGATTCTCCTGCCTAGGTTCTTGGAATGAGAAATCACCAGCTGCTTGTGGCTAAACCTATGTCGCCTCATGGCAGTAACAGCATTTACCACCACTGCCCTCTTGTCCAAGTCTGTTCCTGAACATCCTGGTATAAACATAGGGCCTCTGGTTCCCAAAATGATCTGCTCTGGATACTGTCTTGGCTGGCTCTGAGTAATGGCTCAGAACAGGCGAGTGAGAAATACAGATCTCTTTACATTAGGGAGTGGAAGAGAAAGGCAAAAGTATGACCGCTTTCTGCCTGACATCATCGACTCAGATGAGCAGCCCTGTTTGTGGAAGGCTGCTCCTCGCTCAAGGCAAGGACAGGGCTCTTGGGGAGCAGAGGCCTAGTCTAGACCCTGGGCTGTGCCCAGTTTCTGAGCTCACGTAGCTCTCATATTAACAAAGCCAGCTGACAGAAACTTTCCCTTTTTAGTGCAGACTTATTTTATGTTTAGAGGCAATGACTTGGGAGCCAAAGGCAGACAGATGGATATAATTCTATACACAAATCAAAAAAGAATTCTTTCCTATAACACAACTTAATGAAACATTCCAAATAAGATAATTTATTGCAACATTTCAGGCTTTTTGGTGGAAGGGGAATTTTTTTTGTTTTACCCTGAGTAGAAGATAGTTTTGTGTTTTTTGTTTTTGTTTAGACATCATAGAACTAAGCTGAAAAAGTCACATCCTTCTTTGCACTGAACTGGGCTGTATGCAAAATCTGGAGGGGTAAGAGGCAGAAATGGGAGGGGGCAACCAAAAACCCGGCTAGAACCTGGAACTTGGACACCTGGTCTGCCAATTACATACCACCTTTAAAAACCTCCCATCAAGCCACACCATCTCCTGTAAGCAAAATGCAGTTCTTCTGCTCTGAGGAAGACAGCACCACTAAAGGAAGGCAGAGCACCAACCAGAAACTGGCCATAAGCCACATGTCCACTCTCGGACAAAACAGGGATGTTCCCCAAGAAAAATTCACTGTGATCTGCCAACTCTGGCAATCAACCGAGAGACAGAAAGAACCAGGAAAGCAAAGACTGTGATCATGTTGCTAGAGCCTGCTCTGCACATGCGTCATTGATAGACAGCTGTCAACAGCTCACCCAGAGCCCCTGCAGTATCAGATCATCCCCACAGCCTCCAGCCAGGCTTTCAGCTGCCCATTTGTGCTGCTGCTGGCTCCACCGACACCAAGCGCCAACAACAAAACCATCTCACCTAATTCCTGTCCAGCTCACAGCTGTTTGACCTGTCTTCGCCACTTCCCTCTCTGATGGAGCGAGGGTCTGGCCTTCCAAGCAAGTTTCAGCCTCAGACTCAAAAGACACACGGGGAGGAGCGACACTCGACCACTGAACTGCACTGTCCAAACCACAACAGCCCCAGTGCAAGTGATGGGCAGCATCAGATTGATGGAAACCACACCCTTTCATTCAGAAATTTTATGCATACGAGTAACCTTAATTTCCAAGTTCACATGACAATAAGCAAAAGTGACATACAGTGCAGCCAAACAGTTCATTTATAACTTAGCTTTTTTTTTGTTGGTTTTTTTTTTTTTCCCCCAAAGATCAGTTCCTTAAAATGGATGCTCCTGGGATATGAATAAAGAAAATACATCTGAAAGGTGAAGATTTCAAACAGATTTCTTTATCCTTCAAATTGCTGACCCCATGATGGGAGGCATCACACCTTATGCTTCCTGCTCGGCCTCTCTTCCCGGAGTCCTTTCACTTGGAGAAGCAGCTGGTCAGGCCCAGCTCCTCCTCCCCCTGCAGTAGTGCTTCGATGGGAATCAGATTGGATGGCGTGTCCAGGCTATGGAGGGAAAGAAACTCGGACATATCCATGGCACTTAACGTTTCTGTCTGAGGGTCTGAAGGAGTCTCTGCTTGTCTGCTTTGCTCAGAGGAAGAGGGCATGGTGGAGGATGATGACAGGGGCACAGAGGGTGAGGGCAAAGTCTGCGGTGGTAGCTTCAGGCTGGGCCCATCGGGGGGCTGGGGGCTCGGCTCTGGGGCGGGTGGGGAAGAGCAGCCCTTCCTCTTGCCAGCCGCCCGCTCCTTGGCAGAGTCCCGGCACGCACACTGACACTGACATGCCTCCTCTTGCTTGATGATGATCACAGGAACACTGAGGCCAATCTGCTGGACAGAGCTCCCTGCGAGAGAGGCGAGAGAGACTGCTCTTCAAGTGGCTGCAGGGCACAGAGGTGTCTAGACTAGGTGAGAGCTCAGTGCCATGGAGGCAGGAGTGATGGAGAGGGTGGGTGCCATGCTCCAAGACCAAGTACCTCTTTCTGAGAAAGCCACACACACACACCACCTAGATGCACCCTGTATCTCCAGCCTCGTCTCCAGCCACCCTCCCCCCTGCACCTTCCACGCCAGGCACAGCGGACACCTGCCTTTTCCTAACATGTTCTTCTTACCTCTGAGTGTACGGTCGCTTTCTTCTGCCTAAACTCCCCAGACTCTGCTGTTCTTCCGGAGAACTTACTCTTCTCATCTCTGCAGCCCCAGCTCACTCCCCTCCTCTCCTGATGCCTCTAGGCAGTGTTTCCAGCAGGCTTATAGCTAGATCTGGCTCGAGGGCAGCTGCCTGGGACTGTGCACACAGCTCTCTCCACACCGTATAGAGTTTGTTCAGTTCTGCCTGCCCAAAAGGCTCTGAGCTCCTTTAGGACATCTCACTCATCTTCGTAGCCCTGGTCTCTGACACACAGTAGGTGTCGGTAAATCTCCTTTGACACAACCAGCCTTGCGTGCACACACACTCTCTGAATTCAGACAGGCTTTGCGTGTCTCAAGAGAGCCCAAGACCAAGAGGCAAGAGAATGGAGTGGGAGTCAGGAGACCTGAGAACTAGCACTTTGGCTCTGCCACAAACTCACTTGTGATGCTGGGCGAGTCATTTAACCTTTCAGGGCCCCAGTTTCTTAATCTATAAAGAGATTTTTTTTAAAAAAGGGACCTTTTAGTTCTATATAGTCTCTGACCCAGATACTATTTCTTCATTACTGTAATTACAAAAGAGTCCAGTGAATTAACAACTGCCCTCTTTAGCATTAACTGTGATTCAGATTTTTTTTCTGGCTACATTTAAAAGCTGTAGCTGAAAGGGAAAGACCCGTTACTAGTTAAAGAATGTTAAACGTGGTATTTATGCCATAAGTGCACTAACTTCCAATAGTTGTTGAGAATATGAAGTACTCTAATAAATAAACAATACAATGTGACAAATTTGATTTTGAAGTTTTAAAAACTGGGGCAAGCTGTGCCTCAAGGGGCCCAGTGAGTTGACTTTCTTTTAAAGTGAACACAGAATTACATACCTGTGCTACTGGCTACTGGTACTGCAGTGGTAAAAAACACCTTCTCAACTTTAGAGGCTTGCTGCTGGGAAAAAAAAAAAAATCACATTTATGGCCACTCAAATATGGCAGATCTCCAAGGACCTGAAGCCTCCCCAATTGTAATGATCATCCAAGAGGACAGAAACCCTCAGTGTTGAGGGATTTTTGTACTGAGTGATGTTTTGTGCTTTGACATGAGGTCACCCCACTGTTTGACATTCAGTGTGGACAATGCAGCCTGCTTTGTCCCCATTACTTGGCTGTCTTCCCAGCTGCCTAATCCACGGTTCTGCATGTCCAAAGGCTCCTGCAAGGCTGCTTTTCTCAAGCAACCCTGTAAACTCTCCAGTCTCCACCATCCCCCAATACTTCTATGGGGCCAGGAAGCTCTTTCTCCCTTCAAGGATAAGCTGCCTGCTAAGGACAGGCTAAGACTTCCTTTCACAAGCAGGGAAGCCCCAGTGAAGGCCCTGGGCAGTGTGCGTGAGCTGCACAGGGTAGTTGCTCAAGGGTGGGCCCGGGGCTCTGTTAATCTGGCTTCAAATCCAAACTCTGCCACTTATTAGCTGTTGCAGTCAGTGCAGTGATTTAACCTCTTAGAGCCTCGGTTTCCTCATCTGTAAAAATGGGGATGAGGGCCGGCCGAGTGGCACGATGGTTAAGAGCTGGCTTTGGACGCCAGAGGGCCCCGGTTCAGATCCCACATATGAGGGCCAGTGACACTGCCCTCTACAGCTAAGATGCTGAACAACAGCTCAACCTGGAGCTGGGCTGCCGTGAGTCGCCTGCTATGGTGTAGGCTGCAGCCACTGCTGCAGTGGGTTACCATGGGCTACTGTGTATAGCCAGCAGCCAGCAGGAGCGGCCAGCAGCTGCAGTGAGCGGCCGTCCAGAAGCCGGCGACTGATCAGCCTCACCCGGGAAGAGCGCAATGATGGTGCCAACTTGGGCCAGTGAAGCAACATCCTCCACAACTAGACTGAAGAACCAAAATGACAGCAACTTGTCTGTTCCCCTTCCCCCAATTCCCCAGCGCTGTTCCCCTCCCCCAATTCCCCAATAAAAATCTTAAAAAAAACCCAAAATAAAAAACAATTAAAAATGGGGATGATAACCATAGAACCTCCCAAAAGACTCCTGAGAGATGACATGAAACTATGCATGCAGAGCCCTTGGCACATGGCGAGCATTTAGCAAACATTAGCTACTCATATTATTGCTAAGTAGGACTATAAAGCCATGCCCAGGAATCACCCTAATCACTTTAGTACACTTCCTATTAAATTGGCTGTAGGGTTTCTACTTTCTTCAAGTCTTCTCTTAAAAGGGCTTTGTCTTTTGTCCATTTAAGGCAAAAAAGGAAAGTGTCTCTACGATGAGTCTAGGGGGAACACGAAAGCTTCTGGCTAAGTTACAGGAGATGACACTATAAGGTAATGATGGAAAAATGAGACCCATATTTAAATACATGAAAATGAACTGTATGGAAAAGGAATGACACTTGTTCCATGCAGCTCCCCAGGGCAGATCCAGAAAAACACAATAAAAAGCACATGAAGGCACGTAGGGTCATAACACTGAAAAACATCTTTCTGTTAACTCTGGCCATCTGAAAATGGTACTAGGTTGCCTCCAGAGTCAGTTGGAAACCCGTTTATAGAATTTGAGTGCTCTCACTATTTAGCCCTAACCTACATTTCTAGTTTGTCTGAGAACATCACACATCCACCCAGGCACTCTCCTACTTGGTACATCCTTTTCTCCATCTAATTCCTACTTGTACCTGAAGGCTCACCTGATTGTGTGGCGACCCAATAAGCCCTTAGTCTCAGAACCCCTCATCAAGCAGCATGACGTAATAGTCAATAACACAGGCTCTGGGATCAGTCTATCCTCAAATTCCAGCTTTGTCATCTATGTGTGACCTTGGGTTAGTCACTTAACTTCTCTGGGCCTCAGCTCCTCATTGGTAAAACCATACCCATGTCCTAGGATTGTTGTAATTAAGTGAGTAATGCATTAACAAGTGCTTGGTTAGCACAGTGAGTGACATTTAAAGATACAGAAATATAGTGACAGTAAAAAGATCAGTGGTTGCTAGGGAAGAGGGAGATGGAATGAATAAGTGAAACACGGAATTTTTAGGGGAATGTAACTATTCTGGGTACTGTAATGGTAGGTACATGACATCATACACTTGTCAAAACTCAGAACCGTACCACACAGTGAATTCTAATGTAAAGTATGAACTTTAGTTAACACTAATGTATCAATGTTGATTATTAATCAATCATAACAAATGTATCACACTAATGCAGGATGTTGATAACAGGGAAACTAGGGGCGGGCGGAGAGGGACACGGGGTGGATGGGAATTCTCTGTACTATCTGTTCAGTAAAACGGAAAAGATGTAATAATGAATGTACATAAGGTAATGATTTACATGTTAGATCCTCATTTTTAAAAAGTGCTTAGTTAGCACCACAAAGTAAGGGCTCAATAAATCATAGCTGTTACTTTTTCTATTACCATTTTTATTATTTGGCATTTTATGTACCGGTAATGTTAACTTTCTTGTAAGCATTTTAGCCTCTTTAACTGGAATGTAAGCTTTTATGAAAGAGAGATCATGGCTTTCACTTTTCGGAATCCCCAGGATATCCCATGTGGTATCTGGTAAATGCCAGGCTCTCAAAATCCTTTAATTGAACAACCAAGTCATTTCTTAGTCATTAAGACCAAACACTTTTGTAGAAAATGGCTCTACATTTTCTGGGAGTATGGACTATTTCTCTGACTTGGCCACTGCTGTCCGGTTCCATCTGACGGGGTCCTATCAGTCCCTCATGTCAGCGTGCCTCTGCCCTAGCGACAGAACCCGCTTTCCTGAAACGTTCTTTGGCCTCTGGACTTTGACGACTACTCTCCTGTCCTAGATGATGGGATTGGATTGCAGATGAAATATTTGTTCAAGTGTCTGCTGGGGAAACTTGAAGGTTGTTTCTCTGCCTCCCTACTGCAAGTATCGACATGGATTTATACCACTTGATTCTGGGGGAAATGCCTAAGAGGTAGAGTTCCATGTTTCAGGGCAGATATGACAGCCATTTTCCTTTCTAAAAGAAAAGCCTCTGAACACGTAACCTATGTAAATACATTTCACCCCACAGGATCTGTTCAAACATGATACTTACAATTTGTTCTTGGTTTTGCGGTGAACTGGTGGCACCATTCAATATCCACTGTAGATTCTGTTCTCCCATGACTAGGCTGGACTGCAGGATAGCCGTGTTGGGGGTCGGGGTGATGGTTATAGTGGGATTATTAGTCAGGACAGAGTTGGCACCCAGGGGCAGAGTCTGGACCACGGCTGGCAGGGGCTCAGTAGTACTTTGTGGTTGGGGCGGTGCTGCCACGGCTGATGCCACCGCCGCTGCTGACGCAGAAGCCCCAGCAACAACAGAAAGTCCTGGTACGATGGGCTGCGGTGCCCGGGGGTGCGGAAGAAACTCTTGATGATTAGCAGCAAACTGTGTGCTGTGGGGAACAGGCACTTCTGGAGGTTGTAAGAGAGCGGGGGGGTTGCCAAATGCAGCTTGCTGGGAACCAGTTCCTAGGGAGGGAGCAGGCGGAGGAGCGGACGGTGCTGAGGCTGGTAGTAGAGGCTGGGGTGGCTCGGAGATGCCGGGCTGCAGTACAAGCGGAAGAGATAAAGATGCTGAATTTCCTGTGGATGGCGGAACATCACTGACTGACTCTGCATCACCATTAAAACTTTCAATCAAGGCAGCTGGCAAGAAAAAGAAATAGAAATATATATACATATCCCAAGCCTTATAGGAGCCACAAAAACAGTCACTACGGGCTACACCAAAGACAGCTGGAGTCTGTCAGAGCCAGTTCCTTCATTGCTGGCAGGCTGGCTTTCTGCTATTCATTTAACGACACCTCTGGTTTACAATCAACCTCACTTTCTAAGTGTGAAAAACTGGCGTAGGTCTCAGCATACAAAAAATGTGTCCTACAGCTTTTCTAGAAAAGGGGCTTGACATCCTTTTTGGCATGACCAATGACACACTTTCTGACTGCTGTAAAGCTCCAGAGAGAGGTTTTCATTCAAATACAGTCCGAACTATGCATCCGATGTTACATCTGGGGGTCCTATCCGCTCATGAACAGGGTGTCACATCAGAAGAAGAAAGAGCTCATAGCTCCTCTCATTTTTTTTTTTAAATTTTATTGGGGAACTGGGGGAAGGGGAACAGACAAGTTGCTGTCCTTTTTGTTCTTCAGTCTAGTTGTGGAGGACGTCGCTTCACTGGCCCATGTTGGTATTATCATTGCGCTCTTAAAGGTGAGGCAGTCACTTGCTGGCCCTTGGACAGCCGCTCACGGCAGCTCCCCAAAGCGCATGCCAGCTACCAGCCAGCCCCACTGCAGCCTATGCCATCGCCAGCGACTCACAGCAGCCCAGCTATAGGTTGAGCTGCTGTTCACCATCTTAGCTGTAGAGGGCGCAACGTCACTGGCCCTCATGTAGGATCCGAACCGGCTGTTGCTCAGAGCTGGCGTCCCAAGCCAACTCTTAACCAATGTGCCATTCAGCCGGCCCTCTCTCATTTTTTAAAGCCAACAAGATCTTTTGGAAAAGGAGACCCTCTTCTTTGAGGGTCTAGGGAAAGTAACCCTCAAGTAGACACATGTGCTGAGGGAAGTAGGGGAAAAGATGGAATTGAACTGAAAGGCCCATACTTTGCTAATCCCTCACTGAAAGTCACTTCATTCAAAGGAACTGAAATGATATTTCACAGTGAGTGTCATTCAGTGTGTCAATGGCGAGAACTCCCTTTCCCAGTGCCAAGCTCGAAGCAGGAAGAGAGTCTGTATAACAAACCTGTCTGTTGAGGATCTTCCGGAATTGCCGTATCATCTGAATTCTGGAACATTGATTTAAAGATGCTTGCTGGTGACAGTGTGCTAAGATCCTGGCCCTGTGTTTGATGGACAAAGACAAGGATGTGAGACCCGCAATAGGAGGTAATTCTTCACCCTAACAGAACATACTCGTAGAACAGCAGAACTACAATGATCTTTTGATATGCTTCTTATTTCTAACTTCCCTTTTCAGATGACATACATGTCTCTAAAACTCAGACACTCAAGATTTGGACCCTCAAATACTCTAGAACAGGATTTGACAAGCTGACTCACAGGCTGAATGCCTGCTTTTGTAAATAAAGTTTTTTTGGAACACAGGCACACCCGTTCACGTCTTCTCCATGCTGCTTTCGGTTACAATGGCAGAGCTGAAGAGCTGTGACAGAGAACATACTGTCTATGAAATAAAAAATATTTACAGGGCGCGCGTGCGCCGGGCCCCGGCGGAGGGTCCTCCGCGCGCATCCTCACGGAAGCGCGGCAGTGCGCGTGCGCCTGTGCCCGGACTCCAAAATAGAAAGGAGACTGCTAGTGGTTGCCTGGTAGGGTGGTGGGGGCAGCCCACGGAAATAATCTCTATTCTCAGTCACCGGGAGTTGGCGAGGTATCCTCTGCGGTGGAGAGACCTGGAATGGCCAACTATCTGGGTGAAGTTAAAAGTTTGAAACTGGATGATGAATCATTCATAGAAGGAGTAAGTGACCAAGTACTTGCGGCAGTTGTGGTCAGTTTCGCTTTGATTGCTACCCTGGTATATGCACTTTTCAGAAATGCACATCAAAACATTCACCCAGAAAACCAAGAACTAGTAAGGGTGCTTCGGGAACAACTTCAAACAGAACAGGATGAACCTGTGGCTGCTCCACAGCAGTTCTACACTGACATGTACTGTCCGATCTGTTTACATCAGGCATCCTTCCCTGTTGAAACCAACTGTGGACATCTCTTCGGTGGTACCTGCATTATTGCATACTGGAGATATGGTTCATGGCTTGGGGCAATCAGTTGTCCAATCTGTAGACAAACGGTAACTTTACTGCTACCAGTATTTGGTGACAATGACCAGTCTCAGGATGTTGCACCACTGCATCAAGACATTAATGATTATAACTGGAGATTCTCAGGGCAGCCCAGATCTATTATGGAAAGAATTATGGATCTACCCACTTTACTGAGACATGCATTCAGGGAAATGTTTTCAGTCGGGGGCCTTTTCTGGATGTTCCGTATCAGGATAATACTTTGTTTAATGGGAGCTTTTTTCTATCTTATATCACCTCTAGATTTTGTACCTGAAGCATTGTTTGGAATTTTAGGCTTTTTAGATGATTTCTTTGTCATCTTTTTGTTGCTTATCTACATCTCTATTATGTACAGAGAAGTGATAACACAGAGACTAAACAGGTGAAAAAAAAGTTTACTCAAGTATTTGAGCTACTATGTAAACTCAGACAAAAGGACCCATGGCAGTATAAAGCATTTGAATATTATCTTACAAACTTAAAACCGCTGTATTACAAACATTTGATTAGCTTTTTGGCAAATACCTAGCAATACATGACTGGAATTTTTACATGTTGCAGGTTCTAATATTAAGGTTAGAATTATAATAATTTACAGCTGTATCTTGATTGTGTTGTCTATAAAGTCTCTGGAAAAAATACAGAATTATATAAAAAGGGATTTATATCTTTTTCTTTTCCTCCAAATTACTCAGATTAATTGGATGTATAGTAAAATATTGTTAAATGTACACATTATCGAATTTATCCTTCTCAGTGAGTACCTGTATAATATATTGCTATGAGATTGATCTAAATATTTTTGTTACAATAAAATATTGTACAATAAAAAAAAAATAAAAAAAATATTTACAAAAAAGTGTGCTGCCCCTGCTCTAAAAGACCGAATCCTACATGAAAATGGGACTGAATAATGTCCATTACCTGTAACTTGTTTTTCTCATGTAACAATAATATATTGCTAATATCTTTCAAGGTCATTATATAACATCTGTAATATTACAATATGTACACATGGTAATGAATCAAACAATATAAAGAAACATAATGACAGACAGTAGTGATTGCCTTATACTCATTATATTCTTTGTAACTTACAATTAAGAAAAAGCCAGAGGCATTTATAAAAATAAAATGTGAAAAACAAACAAACACATAATGCCTTGAGGACCCGACTCCTGATAGGCACCAAATAAAATGACCACCTCCAGGCTTCCCTTTAGTTAAGGGGAGGGGAAAAACAGCAATTCTTTTATCTCAAGTCTACCTCCACCATGCATTTTGCAAGGCAAGAGTGACAAAGTCAACCTCCAAGAGTCTAGACAAGTAACAGAAATAAGTGAAGCTGGGGGTGAGGGGGGGCCTGGGACTGGGAGGCTATGGCAAACTGGAGGGCATGCTCCCAGTCAGCTGAGGGGCTTCAGTGGAAGGCTGCCACGTGGCTATGCAGGCTGGGGATGACCAGAGCTCAAGAACGGTCCCTCATTTGGGCTTTTTGGTGAAATCTACTGATTTGTAATTAAAAGCAAGTAACCTGAGAACAATTTAAAAGCACTGTATGAGCCAAATAAAACCTCTCCTCAGGCCAGATTTGGCCCTAGCACCAACTTGTGCTGTAAGGTCATTTTGCAATAGCTCTGCTTCTGGGAGGGAGAAGGCTCACTCTGGGGCTGGGAAGACGTGCGTGAGCAGAACTCTCCACGCCTCGAGAGTTCCTCGGAGAAGAAACTGCCCCTCTGAGCCAAGAGGGGCCAATTAGTCTAGCATGATTCCATGTCTAGAACAGCGGTTCTCAACCTGTGGGTCGCGACCCCCAAAGGAGTCGAATGACCCTTTCACAGGGCTGCCGGGTACTCGTATGTGGGCGTATCTGCATGTGGGCCTGGAGACGGATAGAGGAGCGGTGTCTCGGTTCCTAAGATCATCAAAAATATGTGTTTTCCGATGGTCTTAGGTGACCCCTGTGAAAGGCTGAGAACCGCTGGTCTAGAAGAATGAGAGGGATGCTGAGTGAATCTGATTGCCAGTATGACAGAAGCTAGAGGCAGAAATCTACGTGAGGCTGCCCATTTCCAGTCCACAGGGAGTTAAGAATCACAGGCAAGACAGTGGCCTTCAAATTTTTCATCGTGATACAAAGTAAGAAATACATTTTATATTATACAGTATGTACGTATACATATGCTTCCTATTATATCCGTAGCCCTGTAAGTATAACAGAAACACAAGTCTATGAGACACAGCTTATCCTTACTACGTGCAGCATGTCTTCTGGCACTTTCTATTCTGTTGATGTCCTTAAAATGCTGATTATAAACCATTATTTTATAACCCAATAAAGAGGTACAACTCAGTTTGAAAAATAGTGGGCTAACACCTACCACTAAGTATAAACTTTTCATCTTCCTCATAGTTGTTATTCTTGTTCTACCTGTTTACAAATCATCAGCAATAACACTGTTAAAAAGGAGCGAGCCTGCGTGACTCTGAAAGATTATAAACAAGAATGTTCACAGCAGCACTATTTATATTTGCCCCCAAACTAGAAACTATCCAAATACCCAAGGGAAACAGAAAGAACCAACTGTGGTATATTCATTTAGTGTAATACTTTTCAGCAAAGCGAATGAATGATCTATTACTATATGCAACAATGTGGGTGAATTTCTTAAACATAATGTTGCAAGAAAGAAGCCAGCACAAATGAGTATATACCACATGACTACAATTATACAAAGCACAAAAACAGGCAAACTTCATCGTAGGTTGTTTGTTAGAAGTCAGAATAGAGTTATCCTTAGGGAGAGATGAACAGCTGTTAGGGAGCTTGAAGGGGGCTTCTGGGGTGCTGGGAATGTTCTATTTCTTGAGTTGGGTGCTGGTTACCTAGATGTGATGAATTATGATTCATTAAGCTGTACATCTACTACAGGTGTACTTTTCTAAGTGTATTAATATTAATAAAGTTTTTTTAAATTTAAAAAAAAAAGGAAAAAGGAAAGTGCTGAGTGAGGGGACTGTGATTCAGCCACTGCCAGGCTTCAGGGTAAAACCCCTGGGAGCAGCGACCAAAAGTAGAAGAGATAAGAACAGGCTGAGCCTCTGGGGCCTGGAGCAAAGAGATGAAAGAACACTGAGAGCGTCTGGGACCAGGACGGACCCTGAAGCTCAACAGCTGACAGCATTCTCTACCTGCTTCAGCCCTCCTTTAGCAAAAGATCTGAGCAAATCAGAGTTCACTTCTAGGACGTGTATACGCACGGGCTGGCTGCCCAGGAACCCACAAAATGATGATCACATAAAAATTTATCTTTGGATTTTAACAATTCATAATTTTTTTAAAAAAAAGCAAAGCAAAATTAATCTTATTACCTCAAGGAATTGTGGCCTTAGTTTGAAAGGCTAAAGATGAGACTATTTCCAGTTCAGGGATAAAGGCTGAACGACAAGGGCACAGTATGCAATTTGACTCCAAGGGATGGAGCAGCCTGTCTCCTGCTGACATAAGTTGTGGCAGAAAACGATTCCCCCTTTTTACAAGTATTTAATGTTCCCGTGCACCAGGATTCCTCACCTAGTGACCCCAGGGCTCCAGAAGGCTCCTCAGTCAGTGGACTCTTAAACCATTTAATACAATCTCTGAGATTAAAGAGTTATTGTACCCAGAGATCTTAAACTGCATAGCTCAGAGGACATCTAGGCCACCCAGTATAGAAGTTTCTTTTACAGAATTAGCTCTGAAATATGAGTATGCATAAAAATCATATGAAGTGCTTATTTAATGTTTTTTTTGTTTTTTATTTTTGTTCTTCAGACTGGTTAATTTCTATCAACCTATCTTCGGTTTAGCTGATTCTTCTGTCATTTCCAATCTGCTGTTAAGCTCATCCAGTGAATTTTTTATTGCAGATAAATTTTCAGTTTCAGAATTTCCATTTGGTACATTTATTATAGTTTCTATTTCTCTGCTGAGATTTCCTATATATTCAATCATTACCAGTATATTTCTGTATGTCCTGGAGCATCTAAGAGCTACTTAAAAACCCTTGTCGCTAAGTGTAACATCTGGCTCATCCTCAGGCTGGTCTCCATAGATTACCTTTTCTGTTGAGCAGGGGTAATGTTTTCCTGTTTCTTCATATGTTTACTGATTTTGGATTACCCTGTACCTTGCAAATGATATGCTGTAGAGACTCTGGATTCTGTTACACTTCTTGGAAGCGTGTTTGCTTTAACAGTCCATCAACTCGACTATGTGCCAGCTCCAAACTCTGTCTTTCCTGCAATGGACAGCAGCTGCCATCTTTGTCCACTTCTTCAGCCTTTGCTGAAGTTCACAGTTCAGGGGTCCACTAGAGATTTAGACAGTTTATACATAGAACTTGGGGTTCCCCCTTTGTGGTTCTTTCCTTTCCAGGCTATGTTCCCTCATTTTCCAGGTGCTTTGGTAGCCCTGACCACTGTCCTCTGCTTTATCAAGCCAGTAAGACTGTTTACTGTAGCCTGGACATGTTGTTTGGTGTTAACCAGGGCTTGCCCTGAGTGGCTAAGCATAAAACCTGAAAACCCATCCAAGGGCATCTGCTGTCTTCCAAGTGGCCACTTCTTCCAAGCATTACCTTTGCCTGTTTAGGTTGCTCTCTGGTGCCTTCAAGTTGTTTTTTTTTAATATTTTGCCCAGCAGGGGAGAGTTGGTCTGATGACAGCAACTCTGCCATTACCAGAACCCAGGCCTCGGGGTGCCTATATAAAAATGCAGTGTCAAATGCCACTCCTAGAGGACACTGACTCTGTGACTTGGGGTGAGGCCCAAGGACCTACATTGTCAAGACGTGCTGCAGCTAACTCTACTTTGAGAAAAACTTTTTCACAGCATTCTTGAGTCATTTAGTCTCTGTTCAAATACTTCCTGTCGTACTGTTTCCTTCTTATTTATGATACATACACTCAGAAAAATCTAACCTAAGCTATATTTATTTAGCAGAAAAAAAAACAACAAAAAACGCACACTGAACAACCGGCGCTGGTGCACAGTGAAGCAGACAGATCCTCATGAAGCAGCCTAAGCGCAGGCTTCACGCAGTGGTCTACAGTGCACAATCACAGAGCCGGGAATCACAGGGACATTCCAAACAGTGAACTGAAGCAGTCAGACTAGAGGTAGTGGGCTTGTCCTCTAGCAGAGGGCCTACAGAGGAGGTTGCCTTCAAAACCCCAATGTGGTGAGCTCCAAGAAAGGCAAAGGCTGACTTAGGCCAGGCCGGCAGGGCTTGAGGAAGTCTGGAAACTAGAATTCTGGCTCCTCCTTCCAGGGAAGTAATTTTAAGCTCCTTGAGGACAGACCACGCCTACATTTTTACCATTGACAAGCTCAGCACCAACACACTGACTAATGGAGTAGGCACTCAATAAATATTTGCTAAATGAATAAAGAAAAATTTTCTGCAGCCAGAAAGTTATCAAGTGAGTGACCTGAGTCAAAAGCCATTAAGGCATCAGAGAGAAGAACCTCTCCTGTGAGAGCTCTTATCAGGAGAAAAACAGAAACAAAAACAAAAAACCCTAAAGAGTCATTGAACACAAATAAATCTGGAAGACTTTAAAAACTGGGGCCCCTCAATCCTCCCACCAAAGGGAGTGCTTCATTCTTGAACCCACATCACAGGTATACCTACTGTATTGGAATTTTCTCGCAATTCAGAATCTGTGGACAGAAGGCTCAAGTTACTCAGACAAAGTGAGTGATTTGCATCCTGTAAAAGAGAAAAAAATTCTAATTGAGTAACAACAAAAAATCAGGATTTATAGTAACATATCATGTAACAAAACACTTGATTACAATGTGCCAAGTGTCTAGATGTGTTACCTAGAGAGATATAAAACCATCTAAAGCAAGGGCTATGCAACTTATTTCAATTTTTAAAAGCCTGGCATTCATAGAATAATCTCTTACAGTTCTTAAAGATGGTTAATAATGAGTTTTTAAAATCATCTCACAACTCGGGCTCTAGAATAACAAAAGCTGTGATAATATGAAATTAATATCTGTATAATTGGTCTTATCATTTACAAAGTGATTTCACATGACCTCATTTCCTATTTATATAAAACTCTGAAGTACTATTTTACATTCCCATTTTAAATATGAGAAAATTAATGCAAAGACTGGCAGAGAACTGTCCAAAATCACATAGCTAATTAGCAGAACACAAACCTGGTGCTTCTAACTGAAAGTCCATCTTCCTTCCATTTATCACTGGTCTCCAATATGGGCATCTCAGGGATCACTATGCAGAGCGGTACTGAGGCTTTACTATTCAAATACAGATGCCTAGACTAACTCTGAACTCTGGATTACTAGATTGCCAGTTGCAATTCACATATTTTATATGGCAACCCTGCTTATCTCATGGATCAGATGTTCCCATTCATGCATGCATTCAACAAATATTCACTAAACATCTACTATGTATCAGGCATAATAAACATTAACTATGTATCAGGCATAATAGACATTAACTATGTATCAGGTATAGTAGGCATTAACTAGGTATCAAGCATCTACTGTGCTCTAGGCCCACGGATACTAATGAACAAAACAAACTCCCTGCCATCATAGAGCTTGTATTGTAGAGGAGGGAAGGGCTGGGGGGAGGGGCAAACAAACAAATAAATATGCAGGTATACCAGATGATAATAAGGGCTATGGAGGGTAAGGGGAATAGGGAATGTTGGGGTAGGAGCTGCCCTTTTATTAGATTAGGGAAGACCTCTTAGTTAAGGTGGTATTTGAGCAGATACTGAAGGAAAGGGGTCACAGACCATGCACATATCCAGGGAAAGTGTTTCAAGCAGAAGGTACAGGAAGAGCAAAGGCTCAGAGATCTAAGAGTTCTTCATCATCTCTTTTTTTTTTTTTTTTAAGCTGAGCCATCCTGCCACCTGTTGGCAGCTCAGCGGCTGCTCAGCTCGGGCCGGGACTTGAACCGCTGTTGCTCAGAGCACACTCTTGAGCGAGCTCTTAACCAACTGAGCCACTCGGCCGGCCCCTCTTCATCATGTCTTATAGTTCCTCCTTGTTCAGGGAACTACAAGGAGGATAGTATGGCTGAAGAGAGAGGAAAAGAAGTAAATTAGGTGAGAGAAGTGACCAAGCCAGAGTGTAGGGCCTCGTAGACCACAGTAAAGAGTCTGACTTTAAGTGATACAAGGAGCTACTGGAGGGTTATGAGCAGAGGACAGACATTATCTGCCTTACATTCAGAAATATCACTCTAGATGATACATGTAGAACAGTTTGTGTCAGGGTGGAGTGGGAGTGAGGAAAAGGGGGAAAAGTTGCCAAGAAGACCACTTAGCAGGTTACAGCAATAATCCAGGATCCAGATGGTAGTGACTTGGATGAAGTAATCAGAAGTGAACAGTCTAGGTACATGCTCAAGGTAGAGCCGATGGACTCTGCCAGTGGATGTGCGGTATAAGGAAAAAAGGAGATATTTAGAAAAACTCCAAGGCTTTTGGTCGATGCCACTAGAAAAACAGAGGTGCCAATTACTAAGATGGGAAAAACTGCAGGAGGAACGGGTCCAGACATGCCAAGTTTGAAAGAGTAGATGATGATATCTGGGTGGAGATGTCAAGTGGGAGGCTGAGTTCATATACAAGGCTAGCGTTCAAGAAGAGATCCAGGCTGGATATAAAGTAAGGACTCAAGGGCAATGGAGATGGCATTTAAAGCCTGAGCCTAGAGGAGATTCCCTCCCCTGGAGGGTGACTTGTGATCCAGAGAAGATGAGGTCTGACACTGGGCACTGGGGCCCCACAATGCTTAGAGGTGGTCAGCACTTACACTGTCCTTGGATTGTTGCAAAAATGAGAAAACTGACCATGACTTAATATACGCAGCTTGGTAGACAAAGACTCTCAAATCTTAATATTTTGATCTGGTTTTACAGATGAAGAAGCTGAGACACAAAGAAGCCATCTGCCTAAGGCCAACCGATTGGGGGCTAAGCTTAGATCTGAAGTCAGGCAGCTGAGCTCCAGGGGCTGCAGTCTTCACAATGAATGCGACTTTGCCTCTTCTATCACAGGGGTCAAGAAACAGGCTCTGGAGTCAGACTGCCTGCCTCTATTAGACTAATTACAAGCTCTGGATGCTTAGGCAAGTTATTTCATTTTTCCTTGCCTCAAGTTTCTTTAGTGGGGATAATAACAGTACTGACTTCACAGAGCTCTTGTGAGATAGTCGATACAAAAACACTTAGCAAAATACTTGGCACACAGTAAACATTCAGTAAATGTTAGTTATTATTACTAATAAAACAGAGGGGGGAGTCCTTTTAAAGAGATCCTTTGCTGTTAAAAATTGCAAACCACAGAATTAAAGTATGCTGTCTCTCCCCAAATCAAAATCGTATTACATACTTTAAGAACCTCATTATTCAAAAAGGGGTCAGTGTGTTTCAATTTCTTTAGCTATGAAGTAGTAAGATAATAATAGTACTCGCTTCCTAGGTTTAAACGACATATACCGTGTTTCCCCGAAAATAAGACCAGGTATTATATTAATTTTTGCTCCAACTATCTACATTTATTCATTTGTTCATGTACACAAATCTACACTTATTCAAACAGTCATGTCTGGCTGAAGATCTTAACTGGGGCTTATGTTTGGGGTAGGGCTTATATTACAAGCAAGCATCGTGAAAAATCATGCTAGGGCTTATTTTCCAGTTAGGTCTTACTTTTGGGGAAACACGGTAGTAAGTCCCTAATACTACATAAGAAATAATAACAGTAAATCTATACCAGGTCTCTCTGGAAGGAGCTGTAGGAACTTGGCGAAGAACAGACAAAACTGCCTAAAACTTTGCAGGGGCTTGTTCTGTGGCTCAGTGCCTTAACACAGTGGCTCTCAAGCCATCTGGTCTACAGACAATTCAAAAGGGCAAGGGACCACCCTAACTCTGTCTGGCTCTCCAATGAGCGACTAATGGTTGTGTGAAACAAAGCACTAATTCGTGTTCCAAACTCAAGTACAGAGATACCACTTTATAGACATGAATGGGAAAATAATACCCTTTTCGAGCCTCTGGCTGGCCCTTTGGAAGCCACCCTGAGACCTCTGGTCTCAAGACACGCTTCCACCGAGCTGACAGAAAGGAGGTGGAGCTGGGTCAGAGGCTGAGGCACAGGGAGCCTGGTGAAATCTCTGGCGTCTACTGCCCCATCACAAAGACACAGGTCTGGGCCCTGATTTCTTCCCTCTCACTAACAGATGCACAGAGAAGACGTTTTGACCTTTTATTTTGATATACAAACAACTGGTGCTGTTCTGTGGTGCCCAGATAAACACCAGAGACAAAACATGGCACACACCTCTGATCCATTGTGATGTGGAAGTGCATTGTATAAGTGTCCTTTGTTATCGTGACCTTTCATGTGACTTTTGAGACTGTATTGAGTGCTGAATGTTTTCTCACAGCCGTTACTGGGACAGAAAAAGGGTCGTTCGCCTGCAAGAATGACAAGGAGTGTTCAGTTAACCAGAAAGTCATTTCACTGGATTAAGACATCTACTATTTCCTAAAAGAGGAAAGTAAATATTCTTATGAGAGTTCAGGTAACAGCTGTTATAAGTTAGATAATTACATGTTACTCATCTCAGTCCTAAAACTTAATGTAGAGGAAAGCACTGAGAAATTGCCTGCTCCTGGGAAGTTCAAAGAGACTATTTTCCCCAGGTTTTTTTCTTTAGTATCTTTTTCTTAAGGTTTTACTCCTGAGTCCAACCTTCAGATCCTTTTACCTCTGAAAGTCAAACATTATAGGTGAACGCTAAGCTGATTAGGCTTCCTCTTTCTACAAAGCTCTGCAGGTCTCAAAGGAAACAGATATGTATTGGCTTGATGAAGGTTAAAGTAAAAAATAAAAATTAACGTAAACTCACCAGTATGTGTACGGACGTGAGTTTTAAGGTGGTGGCTTGCTGCAAATGCTTTTCCACAGCCATCATGATCACACCTAAATAAGCAGTTTAAGTAAAAAAACAAATAGCAGTCATTAGTTAACAGGCTTTTATCTTCATTATCTCATATAAATACAAACTCCAACTCAAACAAATGTTCAGAAAACCAAGATCATATCGATGAAATTGGTTTTAGAAAGGGAATGATGATAGATCCAGACCCTGGAAAAGTAAAGTGACAAATGAGAGATCAGAGGAAACTGATGGCCCAGAATAAGCATTTCTTGTCCTACAGGTAAGGTACATGTTGAGAACCCTGACAATAAAAGCCTTTTGATGAATTACTTAACAGAATTCTATTGACAATAAGAGCCCATCGACTGCCAGTGCAGTATTACAAATGCCAGCAGTGGGTACAGAGGCTTTCATATAGGCATGGAGCCTGAACTATAAAACTAGAACAAAATCAGAACATATTGGCTGTAATAATTGATCTATAATCTTCTGTGTCTACTTCAGATTTACTTCTTCCTCTTTTACTTTCTTGATAACCAAAGCCAGAAGTAATCTTTCTCTCCCCAGAACTCCGAAGGCACTTATCTACACACTTATTTTATGGCACCTGTTATTTCCAATCTTGTTTTATCTCCGTTGTATACATTCACTATCTGTTCTCCTAGACGGCAGACTTTTTGAGGGCAGGGTTCATGCAGTTCTTCATGTTTGCTATAGTTCTTGCACATAGCAGATATTCAGTTACTACTTACATAAATGAATGCATTTTCTTTTAAGCCAAAATATCTTATGTCTTTAAATAGAAGGCTTCTTTAAAGGATTTCACTTTGTAATTACCTATAGTCATCGTGTCTCAAGTCCCATCTAATATCCAAGAAAAAATTAGTAGTATTAATTATCACAAAAATACACATGATTGAATGGAAATCAGAGCCCCCTCAATAGCCCTAAGGGGACATAAGTGTCATAGCATCTGGAGACTGACTATAATCTAAATACTTTTGCTTTTATAGGGGCCATGACTCAGAAATACATCTGTAATTTTAAAACACGATTATATTTAATTGGTGTTTAAGAGTTGACTATCCCTGAAGACTTTTCAATTTCTTGGTATCCTAATGAGATGAGTGATTTGAGAAGGTAGCATATGTAATGACATGAATATAACGGCAATCCTTCTTGTCAGAATTCAAAGACATTGTTTATGAGCAATTTTCAGTAATACATCTATATTTAGGGGGAGTCTTTATAAACTGATAATCTTATTAAAAATGTCACATAATCATCCCTAAGTTGTTTTCGAATCCCTACTGAATACCTAAAATTATGTTACATGCTATGAATACAGAAGAAAGTACATATATGATACAAGTCCTTCCTTCAAGCTTAAACATTTACAGTTGTATTTATTAAATATAGATGTATATACTATGCATAAATTGAATACATAGATAAAAATGGATGCTCCTATATGTTTGTGTATACACACGAGATTTTACAAAGGAATAACTAACCAAGTAACAAAATAAAATCCTTGCACCACTAGCCTAAGTTTCTTACCCTTCATCTCCCCTTCTGTCTCCTCCTCGTCTTCTCACCTTGAATCTTAGGTAGGTACCCCTTCCCCTGTGCTCAAAGCACTTTGGGCATCTCAGTCTCAGATGCTGTCTGGTTACTTGTGTTTTTCCACCAGGCTAAGTTTCTCAAGAGGAGAGCCCGTATCTTAGCATTTCTCTAGCACTGATAAAAAATATCTACCACCTAAGTGAGTTTCAATAAATGCTTCTTCAGAATAAAGGAGAAAATGAGGCAGAAAGCCATCATCTGCAATGTGAGGCAGAAAGCCATCATCCTGGAATCCATACCTTCCCTCCAATCTGCAGTAGTTTCTTATAGCTGTCCTGGGGAGAGCTAACACTGCCAAAGAACTGGGGAAGGGAATTTTCTTTCCATTTTGAAAAAGTTTAGAGTACATCAAGATACCCAGCTGATACCCGGTCAGTGACAAATAGAAAACAGGAAGACCCACCGAAATGGCTTTTCTCCTGTATGGGTTCGAACGTGCTTCCTCAGGTCGCTGAGTGTGGTGAAGTACTTGCTGCAGCCTTCAGATTCACAGTTAAACGTCTTCCCTGTGTGAAGCCTCTGATGTGCCTTCAGCCTGTAAGACAGCCCCGAGAAACGCCCTTTGTGACAATGTACTGCGGAGCCTCCCCACGTCGCTTAATGGGCTTCAGGATCAAGTGAGTAAGCTTAAGGCAAATAAAATCTTTTATGAGAGAAGAAAGTGATTTTATTTCTGGCTAAATAAATACTGAAAACTGATTTAACAAAAAATCATTGAAATAAATTAATTAATTACACTGGGCGAATGGGCTTTGGGGAAGGGTGCCATGTCTGATGGCGACGGGGGAAGAAGAAATAGAGCTAAACCCGTAACTTACATAGTGGGATGTCAACATCCTAAAACGGGAAAATCAAGAGGAGCAATATAAGCCTAATATTATACATAAAAGCATGGAGATAAATATAAAAATATTACTATCAAGCTAAAAGGGTAGAAATTGGTTGCAAGTGAAGGGGGAGAAATGGGGTGGTACAACAGACCTTGTAGAACTATCTGCTCTGTAAACATTGAGAATTTATAACCCTGTTAAAATTAAAAATGGTTTTAAAAGATAAACAAAGATCAAGTGCATAAGAATTCTATATCCATAATATATTAGTATCCAAAACTGCTTGCTCAAAGAGAAGTATATAGCATAATGGCAGTACGGGCGTGACTCTGGAGCCAGACTGCCAGGAGCTCAGACCCGGGTCCCGCCTCTTGCTGGATGGGGAACCTCGAGCCAGTTACAAAACCTCCCTGTGCTTCCATTCACTTATCAGCTGCTGTGAGGATTAGCACTCTGAACAGTGCCCAGTACACAGCGAGTGCCCTTTACGTGTTAGCTATTGTTATGCTTGTTATTTTATACCCAAAGCTGAAGACGAATATAAAGTCTCCTCGTACAAATGGTGGAAAAGAGAAATGCCTACTGAGTGGACCACTCCCCATTTCTCAGGGTAAAAAGAAGTTCAAAGTGAGATAGGGAAGAAAATGACAGAAACCGGAGTACCAAGATTCTGAGCCAAGCGGAGATAGTACTCTAGGCCAAACACTAAAATCCCCAAGCCAGGATGGAGATACAAATCCAAACACAAATTACTATCATTTTCAACCAACCCAATATATGTCAGTCTTTAAGTAAACCAAGTTCCTCTAATGAATTTTCAACAGTTGAGCACAGCTGAGCTCCTGGAAGCCCTGAAAGGGAACATCTGTTCTGTGCAAGCATAGTGCACTCTGCAGTCGTGACACAGCCAGAGGCAGCAGCGCAGCGGGAGGACAGGCTGACCTGTACAGCGTGTTGAACGCCTTCTCACAGCCCTGCACGTCACACTCAAATGGCTTCTCCTTCGTGTGCACTCGCACATGGATCCTGAGGCTGTAGGAGGTGAGGAAGGCCTTGCCACAGCCCTCCTGATTACAGACAAAGGTGTACTCTCCTCGGTGAGTCTTCTGGTGGGTGCGCAGGTTGCCTGCTGTGCTGTAGGTGCGGGGACAGCCCTCAAAGGTGCACTGGTACCGCTTTACCTGGCAGACAGAGGACACCTCATCAGTAGGACAAAAGAGCTGCCCAGGGCCTAACTGCCCCCAGAAGCTAGCCCCCAGGACATGCGGATGAAACATAAACACAGAAAACTACCTCAGACAACAAAGTGGGGAGGTCTTCCCACTGATCAAATCACACCTGGGCAACAAATGACGAGTAGCGGGGAACAGAGAAGCTTATAGGTAGATGAATAGTCTAAGTGAACACAAGAAGGGTGTCTTTAGACTCTAGTATACATCTGTCCTCTAAAGGTGGGCATATACTGTTACAGTTACTTATATTCAAATAAAATTTTGACTTTGTTTTAAGGCTTGATTAGACATCCTACCCTATGGCACTATATCTTGAAACAGACCAATGTTAAATTGTAAAAAAACCTGCTGAAATTTATATACTCAGTCATATATACATATATACTAGCTCAGTTATATACTAGCATTGTTTCCACTGAATATTTCCAAGTCTACAAAATGAAAATAATGTATCATGAATTTCTTGGAATATCTGGCAAAATGACATTTCTGAAACTGCCAGCCTCTTGGTTTCCTTTCACTGCCAAACGGCATGGAGAGATGAATGAGTGTGCTGGTACAGTGAACCACAAACACACTTGCAGTATGTGGAAGAGTGGAAGGAGAAGAATCTAGAAAAAGAACCCAAGGCTTCCTTAGTTAAGCTGTGGAGTAGAGAAATAGTCCAGTGGGGAGCCATCAACAGGTTTTAACCAAGACAGCAACAAAATCAGACCCGGGGTTTAGGGCTGATCTTTCTGGTAGCCTTGTGGGGGATGTACTGAAAAAATAAGAGACTAGAAGAAGGGATAGAATTAAGAGAAGAGGGACAACAGTCCAGGGAGAGATGAAAAGAATCTGAACTAGGGGAAGTGAGAGTGGACAATATGAGATGAATTCCAGAGAAATGAAAGGGGGAGAAATGACTGGCTATAGCGACAACTGGGTGCTGAGTTCAAGGTACGAGGGGTCAGGTAGAGGCAAAGTCATGATCAACCCTCAAGATTACAGCCTGGATGACTAAACAGATGGTCACACTACCCATCTGGGGCTGGATGGGGTTGGGGAGAGATGATGAGCTGGGTTTGAGGTGCTGCCTGGAAATGTCTAGTAGCCAGTCAGACATACAGGCTGGAATCTAAAAAGAAAGTCTGTGCAGGAGTTGTTCGTAGACAGATAACAGCTGGCTTCACCTGGGTACTAGAACAGGCTCAGGTTCCAGCCCCAGCTGCCACTTACTGTGTGACCTTGGGAAAATCACGAAAGCTCCTGAGCCTCACTTTCCTTGTTTATAACATGGAGGAAATACAATCTATCTTTTTAGAGTTGTTGTAAGAGTTAGGAATAATTTGTGTAAAGCATTTAAATATAGCAATTGGCATATAGCAGGTACTATATAAACAGCTCTTATAAGAGGACAAAGGATAGACCCCTGAAAGTCCCCAACATTTAAGGAGCTGGTAAAAGAAGAGAAGCCACTGATAGGTGAGTGGGAGAAAGAGCTGAGGAAATAGGCAGGGACAAAGGAGAATAATGTCACAGAAGCCAATAGAAAAAGGATCTCTAGGAAAAGAGAACGATCAAAATGTAAAATGTCAGAGCAAACAAGTAAGAGAAGGACTGGGGAACCTGCTGGATCCAGCAGCTGGAATTCACAGATGACCCAGCGAGACAAGTTTCAGTGGACTGCAGGGGTCAGACATCTGGGTGAAGGTGACTAAATGAAAGGCGAAGTGGAGGCAGAGAGGAGAGGCGGAGGGAGAGCAGCAGCAAAAGCGGACTCCTGAGTTGATGAAGCGTGTTGTTTTTTAGGTAGGATAGATCTTGAACCTAGTTGGGAGGCGGAAGGTCCTAGAAGAAAGAGAGGCTGAGGATGGAGGGAGGAACACGAAGAAGAGAAGGATATTTAAAAGTCTGGGTAGAGGGAAAAGCCTCAGGTAGGAAGAGAGACAGAGCTTCAGAGGACAGGATCAGGAGATAAGGATAGGTGTGGAGGACGTTTCTGTGAAGAGCCAAGCAGTAAATATTTCAGGCTCTGTGAGCCATGCGGTCTCTATTACAGCCATTCAGCTCTGCAGCTATATGTGACAGTAGCCATAGGCAATACACAAAGGGACACGCGAGGCTGTGCTCCAAAAAGACTATTATGGACAGTGAAATCAGACCTTCCTATCATTTTCATATATCATGAAATATTGTTCTTCTCTTGATAGTTAAAAAAACCATTTAAAAATGTAAAAAACCGTTCTACAAAAACAGGCATCTGGATGGATCTGGCCTGTAGGCCACAGTTTGCCAACCCCTAAAACCAGTGCGGGTGGGGAAGGGGGGCCCCGACTCTTCCCGGCTACCCAGCCCTCATTATGATTTCGCACAAGTCTTTAGGCTCCTCAGGCAAGTGCTCTCTCACTTACTCATTCCTGACCTTTCCCACTGCCACACAGGGGGTGCTGCATAAACATCTGTTGAGTTGTATTACTGACCCACTAGGCCAGACATTCTCATGTTTCAGTGCCTAGCTCTGAAGCCACTCGTTGCCAGATTTATTCTAAAACAGTGTTCTACACATGCCTTTGCTCTACTCGAATGATCAAGTCCCAATTCCTTGGCCTGATATTCGAGGTCCTTCCCAGGCCCTCCTCCGTCTCCTATCACATTACTCCAGTACAACAGTAGGCTCTGGCCAGGCCTACAGGCAACAGGACACCCCCTTCCCTAACCGCAACACCGAATTTCCACTTGGTGCCTTTGCTCTCTTCTTTCTGTCTACGGGGAATGTCTGGTTCCTTACTTCTCTGCTTTTCTGAGTCTCTCTTTCTTCAGTTCAAGCTATGCTACCCTCCAAGGCCCTCCACAATCACTCCGTGTCTAAGTGACAGTGCCCTTCTCTGAATTCCAATAATATTTACATATACCACTCACTGGACAACTAGCTTACATTGTTAATTATCCTTCAATGCATATATCTGGATTTCCCATCAAGACTAAAATCTCTTTGGTGCTGCCAGATGGAGATTTCAAAATAATCACTGACCAGGAAAGAGGACCAGGATTGTGAATGCTGCAATAAAGGAGTCTGCATGTCTCAATCACAGAGCTTACAACAACGGCGAATGATAAGAGCAAAATTTCATTCTTAAGATGCTACAGCAGTTGATAACTATAGGTAAGGGTGCAATCAATAATTAACTACCTCTCCCTATCTCCCTGCCCTGCCAACCCCTACTCCCATCCAGGGTTTTTACTTGGCCAATTCAAACTTCCAATAAATGTTCTCAGAAACTCTTTCCTGACTGACCCCTACCCTCACCCCAAACTAGAATAGGTATCCTTATGATAGGTTCTCATAGCTTCCTCTATTTTCTTTAAAGCATATATTATAATACCATTAAGATTAAAAAATTACATAATTAAACAATTTACATCATTATCTATTTAGTTGCTAGGCACAGCAGTAGCTAAAACACAGGAGGCACTAAATAAATGTGTGTTGAGTTAAATGAATGAATGACTATCTTCCATTTGGACTATAGGTTCCATGAGATCAGAGGTTACATCTGTCTGTCCATTGCCACAGCCTCAGGGACTAACTAGCCTTGTGGAGAAACAGCACTCGGTTCATATTTGTTGAATGAATGACTAAACAAACGAACAAGATAAAACCAGTAGGCTTTAATGCTGAGGAAACTAGTGACAAGGACTACAGAAACATGGTTTCAAGGAGGATGATACTAGGTCAAATGTAGCAAAGATGACAGATAAAAAGCATTGCTTAGATTCAGCCGACTCAAAAGGTCCTAACTGCCCCAGCAAGGCTAGCTTCATTGGAGAAGCAGAAGTCAGCGAAAAGCAAGGAGATGGAGACAATGAATATAACTATTCTTTCAAGAAACTTGGCTGAGAAGAAAGAGAGACACAGGAAAGTTAGGTGGGGACACAGACTAGTAAGATATTTGTATTTAAAGGTGGGAGAGATGGCTGACTGTCAAAGCAAATGCCGGCTCCCCCATAACATGCTGAATAAATGAATAATCTCTCACCCTATCTGGAGGGAGGCAGTAAATGGAAGTCGCTATTCTTTCAGAATCATTTTTAAACAGCACCAAATTTCACAAAAAGGGAAAACTAAGCCTCCTCAAACTGGGTTAGAACAGGAAGTTGCAAAAAACATGTACGTTTTCATGGTTACATAGAAGAGGTATTGCAACATGTGGTACATTTAAATACAATTAAGGTTTTTCAGGCATGCATGCATTCAAAAAATTATACTGTCCCATGTGCTAGGAATACAGAAAAATTAGCCCCTGCTCTCAAGGAACTCAAAGTCAAGAGGAGGATCAAACAACTAAACCAACAAGAACAATATGGTATGAGAATATGGATGTCAGAATATAGAGAAATACAGAGAAAAAGCATCTGACTTAGACTTGGGGATGACTAAGAAAAGCTTCTCGAAGGAGGTGATGTCCAAGCTGAATTTAAACTGCTTAAGGGAGAGGTGACACATAATTAATTTTCCTATTAAAGAGGACCTATGATATTACCATAATGTCACTGAAGATTCCACTGGATAATAAAACATGTTTCTCCAAAAGAGCATAAGAACTGCATCCTTTTAATTTTCCGATGTGGTCTCAAAACAGCTGTCAGTTACTAAGTTAAGGAGCTTGGAGAGAGCACAGGGTAGGCTTGCCGAGGACGGGGTCTAGGGCTAGGTAGGAGTAATGGGCAGGAAGCAGGAGCTTTCTGAGAACTGATGTTGATTTGCCAAGTGTTCTAAGAATAGAGAAATATTTAACAAAGATGATTGCCCTGTTAAGTCAACAGAATCAGAAAAGGAAAGGTGAAGGAGATAAGCCAAAATGAGAAAATTAAACACTGGAACTCCAGGAGACAAAAGCTTAAAAAAATTCAGAAAAGGAAAAAAGGCTGGGTTTCTGCTGGAGGAAAACAAAATGTGTCTGAGAGAA